ATTGGGGTCCTACTGCACATGTATATAATAGGAAACGTTTCGGGAAAAGGCCCTTCATAGAATGAAAATAAATGTTGTATGCGCGAATTCATTGTGTGCTATTAAGAAGAGACCCTGGTCGAAACCTTGATGATAAAGCCGCGTGTGTCTGTGTGGCTGATGATGGTGGTGGTGTCTGTGTGCCTGATGATGATGGTGGTGGTGTCTGTGTGGCTGATGATGGTGGTGGTGTCTGTGTGGCTGATGATGGTGGTGGTGTCTGTGTGCCTGATGAGGGTGGTGGTGTCTATGTGCCTGATGATGGTGGTGGTGTCTGTGTGCCTGATGAGGGTGGTGGTGTCTGTGTGGCTGATGGTGGTGGTGGTGTCTGTGTGGCTGTTGATGGTGGTGGTGTCTGTGTGCCTGATGATGGTGGTGGTGTCTGTGTGCCTGATGATGGTAATGGTGTCTGTGTGCCTGATGATGGTGGTGGTGTCTGTGTGGCTGATGGTGGTGGTGGTGTCTGTGTGCCCGATGATGGTGGTGGTGTCTGTGTGCCTGACGAGGGTGGTGGTGTCTGTGTGGCTGATGGTGGTGGTGGTGTCTGTGTGCCTGATGATGGTGGTGGTGGTGGTGTCTGTGTGCCTGACGAGGGTGGTGGTGTCTGTGTGGCTGATGGTGGTGGTGGTGTCTGTGGTGCCTAATGAGGGTGGTGGTGTCTGTGTGGCTGATGATGGTGGTGGTGTCTGTGTGCCTGATGATGGTGGTGGTGTCTGTGTGCCTGATGGTGGTTGTGTCTGTGTGCCTGATGATGTGTGCCTGATGATGATGGTGGTGCTGTCTGTGTGGCTGATGATGGTGGTGGTGTCTGTGTGCCTGATGGTGGTGGTGGTGTCTGTGTGCTTGATGATGGTGGTGGTGTCTGTGTGCCTGACGATGGTGGTGGTGTCTGTGTGCCTGATGGTGGTGGTGTCTGTGTGCCTGATGATGGTGTTGGTGGTGTCTGTGTGGCCGATGGTGGTGGTGTCTGTGTGGCTGATGATGGTGGTGGTGTTTGTGTGCCTGATGATGATGGTGGTGGTTTTTGTGTGCCTGATGATGGTGGTGGTGTCTGTGGTGGCTGATGATGGTGGTGGTGTCTATGTGGCTGATGATGGTGCTGGTGTCTGTGTGGCTGATGATGGTGTTGGTGGTGTCTGTGTGCCTGATGATGGTGGTGGTGTCTGTGTGCCTGCTGATGGTGCTGGTGTCTGTGTGGCTGATGATGGTGGTGGTGCATGTGAGGCCGATGATGGTGGTGATGTATGTGTGCCTGATGATGGTGGTGGTGTCTGTGTGTCTGATGGTGGTGGTGTCTGTGAGGCTGATGGTGGTGTCTGTGTGCCTGATGATGGTGGTGGTGTCTGTGTGCCTGATGATGGTGGTGGTGTCTCTGTGCCTGATGATGGTGGTGGTGTCTGTGAGGCTGATGATGGTGGTGGTGTCTGTGTGCCTGATGATGGTGGTGGTGGTGTCTGTGTGGCTGATGATGGTGGTGGTGTCTGTGTGCCTGATGATGGTGGTGGTGTTTGTGTGCCTGATGATGATGGTGGTGGTGTCTGTGTGCCTGATGATGATGGTGGTGTCTGTGTGCCTCATAGTGGTGGTGGTGTCTGTGAGGCTGATGATGGTGGTAGTGTCTGTGTGCCTGATGATGATGGTGGTGTGTGTGTGCCTGATGATGGTGGTGGCGTCTGTGAGGCTGATGATGGTGGTGGTGGTGTCTGTCTGCCTGATGATGGTGGTGGTGTCTGTGTGGCTGATGATGGTGGTGGTGTTTGTGTGCCTGATGATGATGGTGGTGGTCTTTGTGTGCCTGATGATGGTGGTGGTGTCTGTGGTGGCTGATGATGGTGGTGTCTGTGTGGCTGATGATGGTGGTGGTGTCTGTGTGGCTGATGATGGTGTTGGTGGTGTCTGTGTGCCTGATGCTGGTGGTGGTGTCTGTGTGCCTGATGATGGTAGTGGTGTCTGTGTGGCTGATGATAGTGGTTGTGTCTGTGAGGCTGATGATGGTGGTGGTGTCTGTGTGCCTGATGATGATGGTGGTGCTGTCTGTGTGGCTGATGATGATGGTGGTGTCTGTGTGCCTGATGGTGGTGTCTGTGTGCCTGATGATGGTGCTGGTGTCTGTGTGCCTGATGATGGTGCTGGTGTACGTGTGGCTGATTATGGTGGTGGTGTCTGTGTGTCTGATGGTGATGGTGGTGTCTGTGAGGCTGATGGTGGTGGTATCTATGTTCCTGATGGTGGTGGTTGTGTCTGTGTGCCTGATGATGGTGGTGGTGTCTGTGTGCCTGATGATGGTGGTGGTGGTGTCTGTGAGGCTGATGATGGTGGTGATGTCTGTGTGCCTGATGATGGTGGTGGTGTCTGTGTGTCTGATGGTGGTGGTGGTGTCTGTGAGGCTGATGGTGGTGGTGGTGGTATCTGTGTTCCTGATGGTGGTGTCTGTGTGCCTGACGATGGTGGTGGTGTCTGTGTGCCTGATGATGGTGGTGGTGTCTGTGTGCCTGATGATGGTGGTGGTGGTGGTGTCTGTGTGCCTGATGATGGTGGTGGTGTCTGTGAGGCTGATGATGGTGTCTGTGTGCCTGATGATGGTGGTGGTGTCTGTGTGGCTGATGATGGTGGTGTCTGTGTGCCTGATGATGGTGGTGGTGTTTGTGTGTCTGATGATGATGGTGGTGGTGTCTGTGTGGCTGATGATGGTGATCGTGTCTGTGTGCCTCATAGTGGTGGTGGTGTCTGTGAGGCTGATGATGGTGGTGGTGTCTTTGTGCCTGATGATGGTGGTGGTGTCTGTGTGCCTGATGATGGTGGTGGTGTCTGTGAGGCTGATGATGGTGGTGCTGGTGTCTGTCTGCCTGATGATGGTGGTGTCTGTGTGGCTGATGATGGTTGTCGTGTCTGTGTGGCTGATGATGGTGGTGGTGTCTGTGTGCCTGATGATGGTGGTGGTGTCTGTCTGCCTGATGATGGTGGTGGTGTCTGTGTGCCTGATGATGGTGCTGGTGTTTGTGTGGCTGATGATGGTGGTGGTGTCTGTCTGCCTGATGATGGTGGTGGTGTCTGTGTGGCTGATGATGGTGGTGGTGTCTGTGTGCCTGATGATGGTGGTGGTGTCTGTGTGCCTGATGATGGTGGTGGTGTCTGTGTGGCTGATGATGGTGGTGGTGTCTGAGTGCCTGATGATGGTGGTGTCTGTGTGCCTGATGATGGTGGTGGTGTCTGTGTGGCTGATGATGGTGGTGGTGGTGTCTGGGTGCCTGATGATGGTGGTGGTGTCTGTGGTGGCTGATGATGGTGGTGGTGTCTGTGTGGCTGATGATGGTGGTGGTGTCTGTGTGGCTGATGATGGTGTTGGTGGTGTCTGTGTGCCTGATGCTGTTGGTGGTGTCTGTGTGCCTGATGATGGTAGTGGTGTCTGTGTGGCTGATGATGGTGGTTGTGTCTGTGAGGCTGATGATGGTGGTGGTGTCTGTGTGCCTGATGATGATGGTGGTGCTGTCTGTGTGGCTGATGATGATGGTGGTGTCTGTGTGCCTGATGGTGGTGTCTGTGTGCCTGATGATGGTGCTGGTGTCTGTGTGCCTGATGGTGGTGCTGGTGTACGTGTGGCTGATTATGTTGGTGGTGTCTGTGTGTCTGATGGTGATGGTGGTGTCTGTGAGGCTGATGGTGGTGGTATCTATGTTCCTGATGGTGGTGGTCGTGTCTGTGTGCCTGATGATGGTGGTGGTGTCTGTGTGCCTGATGATGGTGGTGGTGTCTGTGAGGCTGATGATGGTGGTGATGTCTGTGTGCCTGATGATGGTGGTGGTGTCTGTGTGTCTGATGGTGGTGGTGGTGTCTGTGAGGCTGATGGTGGTGGTGGTGGTATCTGTGTTCCTGATGGTGGTGTCTGTGTGCCTGACGATGGTGGTGGTGTCTGTGTGCCTGATGATGGTGGTGGTGTCTGTGTGCCTGATGATGGTGGTGGTGGTGTCTGTGTGCCTGATGATGGTGGTGGTGTCTGTGAGGCTGATGATGGTGGTGGTGTCTGTGTGCCTGATGATGGTGGTGGTGTCTGTGTGGCTGATGATGGTGGTGGTGTCTGTGTGCCTGATGATGGTGGTGGTGTTTGTGTGTCTGATGATGATGGTGGTGATGTCTGTGTGGCTGATGATGGTGATGGTGTCTGTGTGCCTCATAGTGGTGGTGGTGTCTGTGAGGCTGATGATGGTGGTGGTGTCTTTGTGCCTGATGATGGTGGTGGTGTCTGTGTGCCTGATGATGGTGGTGGTGTCTGTGAGGCTGATGATGGTGGTGGTGGTGTCTGTCTGCCTGATGATGGTGGTGTCTGTGTGGCTGATGATGGTTGTGGTGTCTGTGTGGCTGATGATGGTGGTGGTGTCTGTGTGCCTGATGATGGTGGTGGTGTCTGTCTGCCTGATGATGGTGGTGGTGTCTGTGTGCCTGATGATGGTGCTGGTGTCTGTGTGGCTGATGATGGTGGTGGTGTCTGTCTGCCTGATGATGGTGGTGGTGTCTGTGTGGCTGATGATGGTGGTGGTGTCTGTGTGGCTGATGGTGATGGTGGTGTCTGTGTGGCTGATGATGGTGATTGTGTCTGTGTGGCTGATGATGGTGGTGTCTGTGTGGCTGATGATGGTGATGGTGTCTGTGTGGCTGATGATGGTGGTGCTCGTGATGATGGCAATGACGCCTGCGTTGCTTCGGATGCTGCTGCTCATAATTATGTCTGTCTTACTGCTGGCGCTGATGATGGTGAGTCAGTTCCTGCTGCTGCTTCTGCTGATGTATTTGTCGCTTCTGATGATAATGATGACGACGACGATGCTGTAGTGTTTGTTGCTGCTGATGATGTTTTTTGCCGTTTTTGCTGCTGACGATACTTCTACTGCTGATACCGCTGCAATCGCTACTAAAGTGTTTATTGCTACTGCCGCTGATGATGATGATGATGCTGATGAGAACAGAGGAAGGAGAGCGAGAGAGGGAAGGACTCCGGGTGGTGCAGGATGACTCGAGTCCGTGGTCCGGGCGAGAGTTGGAGACTCATCAACCACGACCCGTGACCCTGGGCACGATCTCTCCACCGGGCACGATCTCTCCACCGGGCACGATCTCTCCACCGGGCACGATCTCTCCACCGGGCACGATCTCTCCACCGGGCACGATCTCTCCACCGGGCACGATCTCTCCACCGGGCACGATCTCTCCACCGGGCACGATCTCTCCACCGGGCACGATCTCTCCACCGCGACTGCTGCCACCAATATCTCGGCTCTACCTTTTGTAATTGCGACACCGATTTCTGCCACTACCGCTGCAACTGATATCGCGATTATTATTGCTGCTGCTGCTACTACCGCAACGGCCTCCGCTACTACTGCAACTACTGTCGCACGACTGCAATAACAACTGCTCCTGCTGCAACTGCTGCAACTGCTGCCGCTACTACTACTACTACCGCAGCAGATACTAATACTGTGAAAGCTGTTACATCTGTTACCGATACGACTGCTGCCGCTCCTGCTGCAACACCGACTGCGGGATAAGAAACTGCCGGAAAGTTTAGGAAATTCTCCCCGTCGCCCCTTTCAACCAAGCAAGCAACTCGCCCTGCTTCCAATCCCTCCACCCAATCTTCCCTCCCTCTCCCTCTGTTCCTCCATCCTTTTATCACTATCCCTCAATCCCTCCATCCCCCTCTCTCCCTGCATCCACCATCCATCCCGCCCCTCAATCCATCCCTCCATCCCCCCTCTCTCCCTGCATCCACCATCCATCCCTCCTCTCAATCAATCCCTCCATCCCCCCTCTCTCCCTGCATCCACCATCCATCCCTCCTCTCAATCAATCCCTCCATCCCCCCTCTCTCCCTGCATCCACCATCCATCCCGCCCCTCAATCAATCCCTCCATCCCCCCTCTCTCCCTGCATCCACCATCCATCCCGCCCCTCAATCAATCCCTCCATCCCCCCTCTCTCCCTGCATCCACCATCCATCCCTCCTCTCAATCAATCCCTCTATCCCCCCTCTCTCCCTGCATCCACCATCCATCCCTCCTCTCAATCAATCCCTCTATCCCCCCTCTCTCCCTGCATCCACCATCCATCCCGCCCCTCAATCAATCCCTCCATCCCCCCTCTCTCCCTGCATCCACCATCCATCCCGCCCCTCAATCAATCCCTCCATCCCCCCTCTCTTCCTGCATCCACCATCCATCCCGCCCCTCAATCAATCCCTCCATCCCCCCTCTCTCCCTGCATCCCTGCCTCCTCTCCCTGCCCCCTTCCCTCCCTCCCTCCCCTCAATCAATCCTTCCATCCCCGCTCTCTGCCTCCCTCCACATCCCCCCTAAATCCCTCGCTGCATTCCTCCCTCCCCATATCCCTTCCTCCTTGCCATCCCTCCATCCCCCCCAACCTCCCCCCTTACCTCCACCCCAGCCTTCCGCAACACCCCCCACTCCACCACCACTCACGCCGCCAGGAAATGGAAGCCACACCACCACCGCCGCCGCCGCCTCCTCCTCTGTCCGTGCCAGCGGGCGGAGGCGCGGAGCGGGAGTCACGCAGCATCAGCGCCTCTCCCCAGGGACCCCCCGCAGGCTCGGCAGGGGGCGGACAGGCGACCGCGGGAACGGGAGGAGCGGGAGGAGCGGGAGGAGGAGGAGGATCGGTAGCCAGGGAGACAGCACTCGTGCGCTCCCACGCTCACTCCATAAGTAGAGGGGGCGCGAGACCCGACGCGTTCAGCCCCGCAGAGCTCGGATCACCGCTCGCGGAACAGCAGCCGCCGGCCGAGAACCATCATCATCACCACCACCACCATCATCACCACCATCACAATAATCGCGGCCATCAGCAGCAGCAGCAGCAGCGAGCGATGCCGATGCCGACTGTGGCGTCGAGTCTGTCACCGCTGGTGCCCGCTACCCACGCGACCATGCTCTACCCCGGCGTGCCAGCTCCTTACTCTGAGCACGCCCTGGGGCTCGACAGGTAACTGCGTGTGTCATCAGTGCGTGTCAGTGTGTCAGTATGTGTGTGTGTGTCAGTGTGTGTGTGTGTGTGTCAGTGTGTGTGTTTCAGTGTGTGTGTTTCAGTGTGTGTGTTTCAGTGTGTGTGTGTCAGTGTGTGTGTCAGTGTGTGTGTGTGTCAGTGTGTGTGTCAGTGTGTGTGTCAGTGTGTGTGTCAGTGAGGGGGGAGTGGTAGTGCAGCGGCTAGCGCGCTGCGTTACGAACCCGGCGACCCGAGTTCGATTCCCACTCACGGCCACCAACACCAGTGACGATTATCTGAACCGGACCTGGACCTCCCCTAGGTCGACTCAGCCTCAAATGAGTACCTGGAGCGATGTGTAAACATCGGACGTGGTGTTGGCCACCCACCCCCTCGTGTGCCATATAGACCTTCTTAGGAGTTCGCTAACAGCACTTGCCCTCAACAATTTGTTAATGCTATACGGGGGGGTCATTGCATTTGTGGGTGATAGTGTGTGAGTGATAGTGTATGTGTGATAGTGTGTGAGTGATAGTGTGAGTGTTCGCTTACAGCAACAAGTGCTCTTTAACAGGATTTGTACCAACAGCCTTGGAAAGGCTATACGGGGGATCTTTGTCTTTTTCTGAGTGTGTTTGCGTTCATATGCGTGTATATATGTGCGTGCGAGAGACTGGGATTGCGCGTATCACCGTTTGTTTATGAATTAGTATGTATATGAATTAGTATATATATGAACTAGTATATATGAATTAGTATATATAAGTAGTATATATGAAGTAGTATATATGAATTAGTATATATGAATTAGTATATATATGAAGTATATATAAATTAGTATATATGAATTAGTATATATATGAAGTAGTATATATATGAATGAGTATATATGAAGTAGTATATATATGGAGAGCGGTTGTGTAGCGTTTGGTAGGCTGCGTTCCGAACCCGACTATCCGAGTTCGACTCCCTGCTCAGGGATAACACCGGTGACGATTACCTTTCCCAATCTTGGGCCACCCCTAGGTCGAATAAGCCTCAAATGAGTACCCCCTGAGTGTGTGTGTAAACATCGGCACTCGGGAGACAAAGGCGGCCGGGCGTGGTTGCTTGACCACCCACCCCCTCGTGCGTCGTGCCGGCATTCATCAATGTATCTCGCTGACAGCATTTGCCCCAACAGTATGTTAAGGATACACGGGGATCTTTATATTGTGCGCGTGTGTATGTGCACTAACAGCACCTACCACGACAGTCTATACGCTAAACGGGTGATTGTGTGCGTTGAAAGCTCTTCAAGTGCTCTCTGTGATTCCACAACGAACACTCGAGTTGCGGAAATTACGACGCGGTTATTAACCCTGCAAGTACAGACCGCGGTCTGGGCTGTTAACCTGGCCACATGAGTTCGATTCCCGACCCGCGGCTAACCATCAGTGGCGAGTGATATCCGAGCCCACTCCTTTCACCAACCAACCATCGCCACGGCGTGGGGAGGCCTTCGTCTAGCAGTGGATTGTTATGAACGATCTCATGTACCAGGTGAAGCCCACTGAGCTATTTAGCTTTTTTTAAAAAGCGACCTGGCCACAAATGATAGCTCAACGAAGTGGCTATTCATGTGGATATTTATAGCAGCCAAATACTCTAAACGCATGATTCTAAATGTGGATGGAAAAAAGCGGAGGACCCGGAGAAAAATTCACCACGGTGTCAGGATCGATCTCACGACCTCCTGTATATCCGGCGAGGGAGATAACATCTCGCCACCGCGGCGCTGTATTCTCGATTTTATTATAAACCGAACCTTCCCTCGCACCTCCGATCAGCATGGTTGGCTTGGTGCGATGCGAAAGAAGTTCCACATACAGAAGTACATGAACAAAAAAAGCAGCTCTTAAGAAATTCGTTTTAAAATTAGATTATTAAAAAGTGGATAGCTCCAGATGCTACCGAATATCGGAAGGAAGAGCGTTCCAGACGTCCGCAGAAGTCGCTGCTGCTGCTGCTGCTACGATGACAGGAGTTTGCGTGATGGTTTTATTCTCCTCGACGAGATCGGCGAGGTATTGTAGTTAAATTGTGGCAAGCAACTTTGTGTGTGTAATGAATGCGCGTGATGATGTCAACACGAGTTCCTGCCTCCATCTCTTCGGATCTCCCTCCGCCTCCTCCCCGATATCATCGTTTGCTCCCGTCATGATCCTCATCGTTATCATCATCGCGGTGCCCTTCCTACCCGCGCTCTCCCCATCTCATTACCAGGTCTCCCTCTTAGATTCAGGTGCATTTAGGATCAGCCTTATTTACGTTCGGTTTGATATTTGGGCAGGAAAACCCCACTGGGTAACAAAATGCTCAGCTTCGATGGGGATCGAATTACAGAATTATAGAAAAAAGTTACGAGTTGCTTACTCGCCGATAAAAAACATAATCCCTTGCAACATTGTAATGCCGAATTCCTACATATGAACCTTATGGCGAGACCGCGGGGTCCCATAAGCGGCTCTCGCATAAACTGCGTTGCGACGTCATTTTATGTCTGTTGAAGGCGAACAAGAGGGCAATCTATTCCTCTCGACGCGCTCTACACGATGCGCTGATCAAAGTTTAAAAGTTATGTTTCTTCTGCGCATTCGTCCTCGCTGTTGCGCTTGGACAACACGACAACAGGACGATCCGCGCCAGGCATCTCGCGGCGTTTATGTGTGCGGTGGGAAAAAAAGTCGCCAAAAAGAAATTAGTTAATTACGATTTTGACTTCCGTTTATTCTGGACCCCGGGGTCCCGCCATAAGGTTCATAATGTACAACTAAATCCGTACACTATGGTGTGTTTATATGTTAACACAATGACTGTTCTTATATATATTAAAAACTACATTCTACAAACATCACAGGGTATTCCTGCAATGCAGATCAATACTACCCAGTAAACATGCAACGTTGCATGAACGTTGCATGATACCGTTGCACGAACGTTGCATCCGGCCAGTCAACTTTGGTGCAACGTTGACACCTTTACTGCTTAGAATCGTCCACGTGTATACAAACATAGAATAATTAAATAAAAATCAATGCCATTTGCCAATCCACTGCTGGATGAAGGCCTCCCCACCCTCGGTCTGTCTCTGTGGGTTGTTCGACCATACTTCACCGCGTTGGTCAGTTCAGGTTAAAAGTAAGTTGGTTCGGCTCAGGACCCGCTCAGGATGATCGCTCGCTACTCATGTTCGCCGTGACCGCGCATCGAGCTCAGATGGCCGGATTCAAAACGCGCTGCGCTAACCACTATGCTGACGCAATATCATTCTCGACGACGACATCATCATCAGCAGCAGCGTGACAGCGTGGGGCAGGCAGGGGGGTGCCTTGCCTGCCCTGCCCCCCCCCCTGTTGGCCAAAGCTACGAGTTGGGGCCTCCTTGACAACCAGCATGAGAAATTTTTCAACAGCTGTGTGAACAAACAAAAAAACCCGCGACAAATTTAATTTGAAAGCGCGGTTTAAAATTATTTTCATGAATATTGCATTTAATTTACGTTCCGCGTTTTATTTTACTTCAATTCGAGCAGCGACGTATGGCTTCCGCAAATTGCGCCTGACCGATTGCCGCAACCCACTCCCCCCTCCGAGCTGATAAATGTCATTAACCACGCCACCGATCATCAGCAGCCGCGGTCAATCCACTGCTGGATGAATGGCTTTCGCTTCCCAAGCCTTCGCCATCTCTCGTGTTCCCCGAGATTGTCCGCGCCCATATAAATGATACCGTGCTATGATGATAGTGCTGCTACTGCTGCTGAATTGGCACAGTGTCAAGTCAATGTAAAACTTTTTGTTGCTTTAACTCGTGACTCCTCGCCGGCACAAATCGGCCAGCCAGAGCGCCAGTGGAGGAGCACGAACGATAGTAACGCTCAACAGATTCGTTCATAATATTAACTTTAAAGATATATAATAGGCGACGTTTCAGGCAGTGGCCCATCTTTATATGTTGACGTGCTTTGAAGATGGCCATTGCCCGAAACGTCGCCCATTATATATGTATTTATTCTAAGGCCATACAGTATTATTGAAAACCGTGTTGATTTTTTTTGTTAATTTCGTATAAAATATACGGGTAATATACGAATTGGGAACACACGAATTCTGCTTATCGCTACGTTCCTTAGCTATACGTCATGCTGCCTAAACACCGAGGTGTCAGAAAACGTCAACTATTACCAATGAAACCAAGTGTATGTACGTATGTTGAACTTCTTTCGCACCGTACGCAGCCAACCGCGCTAATCACAGGTGCGGGCGGGGGGGGGGATGACACCAAACTAAACACACCAACAAAAAACAAACACAACAACAACAAAATGAATCGGGGAACGAGCGCTGGCTTCTCGCACAGCACACCGCCACGGTGTGTGCTGTGCGAGCTCCCCAACAGCACACCGCCACGGTGTGTGCTGTGCGAGTTCCCCAACAGCACACCGCCACGGTGTGTGCTGTGCGAGTTCCCCAACAGCACACCGCCACGGTGTGTGCTGTACGAGCTCCCCAACAGCACACCACCACGGTGTGTGCTGTGCGAGTTCCCCAACAGCACACCGCCACGGTGTGTGCTGTGCGAGTTCCCCAACAGCACACACCGCCACGGGGTGTGCTGTGCGAGTTCCCCAACAGCACACCGCCACGGTGTGTTCTGTACGAGTTCCCCAACAGCACACCGCCACGGTGTGTGCTGTGCGAGTTCCCCAACATCACACCGCCACGGTGTGTGCTGTGCGAGTTCCTCAACAGCACACCGCCACGGTGTGTGCTGTGCGAGTTCCCCAACAGCACACCGCCACGGTGTGCGCTGTGCGAGTTCCCCAACGCTTGCCTGGCTGCACCGTAGTTGTACACCTCCTACGCTCCTTTGCCTTCACCAACCGCACTGCCCCATGCATGGTGAAGTATGGTCAAATAACACCCCACCCCCCACCACCCCCCACGACGAAGTGGGGAGGAGGCACCTCTCATCCAGAGGTAGGTTGACAGAAGCGACGCACTTGTGGTCTTCATGCGTCCCCCGCTGGAGGGCAGCATACGATTCGCACGGTCACTGCTTGAGACACCGACCAGACCGGCGTTCTTAAATCATTTTTAGAGGAAGGGGAGGGCCACTTTTGCCGATAAGACACCACCAGCGTGAGGGCCGCCACACATTTGAAACCACATGGGGGTTTGACAGCACGGCGACGATGATGTTTTTTTTTGTTGTGGCTGCACCCGATTCAAGAGCCGAATGGCTCACAGGGCTATACCAAAATAAAGAAACTGAAAAACTGAAACTTTTCGTGGTTTGTCAGGGGGCCGCACTAAAGGCCACCAGGGGCCATCCGTGGCCCGCGGGCCTTGCAGTGAAGGCCACTGACTTATAACGGTACTTTGATGGCCGTGACTCATCATCACCCATCATCAGCCGTGGTCGATCCACTGCTGGATGATGGAGGACCTCCCCATGCCTCACAATGCACTCGCCAGGCGCCTGCAACGCGGGACGATTTCGTCGCTCCATCTCTCGGCGAGCGTTCCCGAGCTCTCGGTTGGCACTCACAGGATCGTGACAGTCTGACGATGTTCTAGACGGGGCTAGAACAGCTGAAAGTGGGCACAATCATGAGCCACTCTGTTTAACACGTAGTCGGCTTTCGCGACCAATATAATCCATAATACAGGTTTTTTGGGGGGGTTAGATCGCATACATGTATAAATGTGTCGAAGCTAGTTGTAACTGCTGGCGAAACGTCGGACTCAGATTGTAAACGTTGTGGCTTGGCTCTCCAACACACCGCTGTGCTGCACTAGTAACGAATTGGCCACGTTCTGTTTACGTGACAAACCTTACTAGTTGGCTGTGTCGGGTGGTGGCGGGTTTAACGACACATTTATATTTTTACGCGATCTAACCCAAAAATCCTGTATGGTGGACAGGCCACTCTGTGCCCACAACTATGAACAGAGCCGTTACTGATGAGCGAACACCTATTGAGGCCGCGACTGCGCACGAGTGGGCGGTGTTGTCAGTACCACACGCGCCCGCCTTTGTATCCCCAGTGTTGACGTTGAACACAGCGCACCGGGTACTAATTTAATGTCGCGTCACCCTAGGGGATAACCCAGGACAGAGCTCAGCTATCTCCCGCCCAGTGCCTGATGAAGCTTAGTGCGGGGCCTGTAGCACATGTTATAAAGGGGCCCTAAATAAATAAATATCAATATTAAAAGACACATTTTTTACTTGCATAGTAAAGTAATTGTATTTTTTGCATTTGCTATACAGCCAGATAATACGACAAATCGCTAACCTTACATACCCAGTCGTTTGTAAATGTTGAAGGCGGTATAGTACTATAGTAATAGAGCAAGTGCAGAATCACTGAACCCGAATTGATTGCTTGAAAGCATTTAGCGCGGGGACCTTGAAAGTGCGGGGCCCGTAGTATATGCAGCTACGTTTGCTACGATGATAATCCGGCACCGCTCCCGCCACTGATGTTAACCGCCACCACCGGGAATCGAACTCGGGTGTGGCCTGGTTCGTAGTGCACTGCGGTAGTCACGTGGCCGCTGCCTCATACAAAGGTAAAGGCCCCCCCCCGAATAAGGGTGACGACGTTACCCTTATTCACCCGCGCTGGGGAACATGGCTCTCGATTTCAATACCCACTCGGCATACATCGATGACGAGTGTCTGACACCGGTCGCGGTCCTCCTTAAGGTGAGCTCAGCCTTAAATGAGTACCTGTGTGGTCGTGGGTTAACATCAGAACTTCGAGGGTGGCGGTGGTAAAAACCAAGGCAGCCCGGCCGGGCGTGGCGTTAGCCCAGGGGTCGTCAATGCGAGACGTCTCGAAGCAGCTTCCTTAAAGAGCCGCCGCACGCGACTCTGCAGCCGCAGGTTTTGGCGATCCGTGTGTGAGCCACTAACACCATCCTATCGCGAATCTCTCCAGCCTTGTGTAATATTTACTCGCTAACCCCCTGACCCACACCACCCCTACAGTCTATGCTCGATATTGTTGCCTTTCTGATATCTTTGTCTTCCGCATGCATATACATAAGGACTTAGGTTGAGACTGTCCCGGGGCGCAAGGACCCACAGTGTAACTGGGCGGGCGGGGGGAGCCGCAGACACAAAGCGAGAGGGGTGACACAGACATCTGCCTCGGCTCACGAGGGCTGTGGCGAATTCGCAACAAGGAGGCCGTCAACAGTGAGCCGCCCAGATTGAGCGCGTGACACTTAGCGTGAACGCTTCGCGCGAACACTTAACGTGAACGCTTCGCGTGAACACTTAGCGCGAACGCTTCGCGTGAACACTTAACGTGAACGCTTAGCGTGAACACTTAACGTGAACACTTAGCGTGAACGCTTCGCGCGAACACTTAACGTGAACGCTTAACGTGAACGCTTCGCGTGAACACACACTTAGCGTGAACACTTAACGTGAACACTTAGCGTGAACACTTAACGTGAACACTTAACGTGAACGCTTCGCGCGAACACACACTTAGCGTGAACACTTAACGTGAACGCTTCGCGCGAACACTTAACGTGAACGCTTAACGTGAACGCTTCGCGTGAACACACACTTAGCGTGAACACTTAACGTGAACACTTCGCGTGAACACTTAACGTGAACGCTTCGCGCGAACACACACTTAGCGTGAACACTTAACGTGAACACTTCGCGCGAACACTTAACGTGAACACTTAACGTGAACGCTTCGCGCGAACACTTAACGTGAACGCTTAACGTGAACGCTTCGCGTGAACACACACTTAGCGTGAACACTTAACGTGAACACTTCGCGTGAACACTTAACGTGAACGCTTCGCGCGAACACTTAACGTGAACGCTTAACGTGAACGCTTCGCGTGAACACACACTTAGCGTGAACACTTAACGTGAACACTTCGCGTGAACACTTAACGTGAACGCTTCGCGCGAACACACACTTAGCGTTAACACTTAGCGTGAACACTTCGCCTCCCTCTTCTCTCTCTCTCTCGTTCTCCCAAGAGCTCTTGAAGAGGTGGCGGCGGTGGTGGTGCCGTGATGGGTTGGTGAATAGGGATTGTCTATGGGCGCCACGGTGGCTAGGAGATGTTAACTACCTCGCCTGGTATGCAGGAGGTCGGGGTTCGATTCCGACCCTGACGCCTGCTGCTGCTGCTGTATATTTGGAGTTTGTGTCTCTCTCCCCGTGGGCGCGTGGATTTTTCTCCGGGTCCAGTTAAATATCCCTCCACATTTTAGAATCAACATCACGCGTTTACAGTGTTTGGCTGCAGCTACACATTGCCACGTGATGAGCCACTTCGTCCAGCCATCGTTTGTGGGCAGGTCGCTTCTGAAAAAGAGCTACGTAGCTCAGTGGGCCGTATCTGGTAAAACTAAAAATAGTTTAAAAGTTTCGTTAAAATGGGGGGGGGGGGGGGGTAAGGTTGGTTATGGGAGGGGAGGGGGGGTTATTGTGGAGGGGAGCTCGCGGTGTGATGGTGGGGGTTGTAGGGCAGGTGTGGGAGGTATGGAGGTGGGGGCATGGTGGTGTTGGTGGTGGTTGAATGTAAACGCGCGCTCATGTAGAGAGGAGAGAATTACCCATCACAAAAGCATCGTTGAAACAAGCCTGCTGATGCTGCTGCTGCTGCTGATGATGATGACGACGATGAGACACCGAATGTCAAAACTAGTCCAAGCGAGTTTGCTGCTGGTGTGGCACCCGTGCTGTTGAAGTCGTGAACTCGCAGAAGACCGCGTGGCTTATGGGATGTGTACAAGAATATACATTGAAATGCAACATTTGTATGTATGCATATTGCATTTTTTTCGCACCGTACGTAACCAACCGTGCTTATAGGAGATGCGGGGAAGGACAATAAACTCAAATGAGTTTTCAATCTAGATAATTTAAAAGTGCACAGCTCCAGTGGATTCCTAATATCGGAATGAAGAGCGTTCCAGACGGCCGCAGAAGCGCATCGGACTCAGCCTCAAATGAGTAGCTGGTGCGGTGTGTAATGATCGCCGTAGGGGAGACAAAGGCGGCCGGGCGTAGTTCCAGCCACTCCACTCCCTTCGTGACCCGTGCCGGCCTTCATAGGTGCTCGCTAACATCACTCGCCCCAACAGTCTGTTAAGGCTACACGAGGCATCGCTGTTGTACATCCATACGTATTTATTACGCGTGACCGTGAGAGATGTCTGTAACATGGCTAACGACGATGATGTGGTGTGTATGTGTGTAGCGGATTCGGTCCTGCCCAGCCAACCTTCACAGTGCTGCAACCAAACGGCCTGAAGAGGAGACCCGCTCCCTATGACCTGGAGTACAACGAGGGTAAGCAACCATACAGAGCCACAAGGAGAGCACTGCGCTGATGTCAAATAACAATTATATTTGTACTCATTTAAATGAATTTACTTTGTTATCCAGGATAGCCGCACTGAGTCACAGAACTCATTTTGAGGAAGGTGCTGCTGCTACATTGGGTTTACATTTGGAAGATGTGTCCATCCTAGTCAAGTTTAGAAGGCTCGCTGGCAGGAGGTAACGGGACAGACCCAGGTGCCATGGGTTGACTGCTGTGCCAGGCTAGGTGCAGGAGGAGGCCACGGGACAGACCCAGGTGCCATGGGTTGACCGCTGTGCCAGGCTTGGTGCAGGAGGATGCCACGGGGCAGACCTAGGTGTCATGGGTTGACCGATGTGCCAGGCTAGGTGCAGGAGGAGGCGACGGGACAAAGCTAGGTGCCATGGGTTGACCGCTGTGCCAGGCTAGGTGAAGGAGGAGGCAACGGGACAGACCCAGGTGCCATGGGTTGACTGATGTGCCAAGCTAGGTGCAGGAGGAGGCGATGGGACAGACCCAGGTGCCATGGGTTGACCGCTGTGCCAGGCTAGGTGAAGGAGGAGGCCACGGTACAGACCCAAGTGCCATGGGTTGACTGACGACTGGCAGGATGCACCAGGCTGCGCCCCCTGCACACAAACGGAGAGACTCGCGCACACCACACCAAATCCGTCGTGTGAAGGCAGACTACCCCGACCCGCTCACGCGAAACGACTCCCCCCCTCCCTCCATCCCAGGTCCCATCGTGAAAACCCCGCGGCGAATCTTCACCAACAGCCGCGAGCGATGGCGTCAGCAGAACGTGAACGGCGCGTTCGCCGACCTGCGCAAGCTCATCCCGACTCACCCGCCCGACAAGAAGCTGAGCAAGAACGAGATACTGAGACTCGCCATGCGCTACATCACCTTCCTCGACCGCCTCCTGCGCGACCAGACCGCGGGCCAAACCGGGCCCTCCATGGCGCAGGGCTCCGGGAACGGCCTGATGACGATGGGTGGCGGCGTAGGGATCAACCAGATCACCTCCACCTCCTCCTCCTCCTCCTCGCCACCGCCGCCGCCGCTGCACCCGGGATCGAACCGGGACGTGCGCGGCTCGATGGTTGATGACGCGGCGGCTGCCGCTGCGTCGAGGGACGACGCGGCGTCGATCGTCACGGAGGACGTGGCGTCGCCCTGGTCGAGCTGCGGCAGCTGTTGCGACGGTGGAACGGGATCGCCGGGGAGTTTGTGCGACGAGAGAAGTCAGCATCAACACCAGCGGTGACCTCCTCCTACTCCTCCTCCCCGCCACCACCATCGTCGTCATCAGCAGCGTCGTCAGCCGTGGTCTATCCACTGCTGGTTGAAGGACTCTCAATTGACTACGCCAATCCGCACGGTCTCGCGGTGCGTCTTTGGTTGTATCCGCAAATGAATGAACGGATAAATGAATACTACAAAACAATAACAACAACAGCAATTGCCGTCAATTGCCACTAATTGGAGGTGACGTCACCGCGGCGCTTGTGCCAGGCTAGGTTTACATTGGCCATGAAGAAGTAAATACAGTACGTACACGTTAACAAAAATACACAGACACGTGGCTTTAGCAGAGCTACGGCGACGGGAAGTTAGTTTCGGGCCTTTGAATGGCACATGCACACAGGGAAATTCATGGAAGGATTGGGTGAGCAAATACAGAGCAGAATGTGGTTTATAGAAAGTGCCGAAGCTGCAATGAGGATGTTGTGATGGGTGGGACAACGTGTGCCGTGTGGAGGAGGATAGGGTAAGCGACCTGGAGGTTGGGAATAGAACATGCAGGAAAGGGTAGCTGTGAACCAGAGTGCTACAGTGGCTATGAGATGTTCACTACCTCGCCTGGTATACAGGAGGTCGTGGGTTCGATCCCGACCCTTGCACCTGCTGTAAATTTGGAGTGTTTGCATGTTCTCACCGTGGCTGCGTGGATTTTTGTCCAGGTCCTACAGTTTTTTTCCCCTCCACATTTATTAAAATACATTTAGAGTATTTGGCTGCTGCTTTAAATTTCCACGTGATAAGCCACTTCGTTGATCTATCATGTGTGGCCAGGTCACTTTCGAAAAATAGCTACATAGCTCAGTGGGCCTTATCTGATAACATCAAAAAAATTGTTTAGTTTCGTTTCCAGGAAGAGGAGGAGGTGGTGGTGGGTGGGACACCTGTGCAGGATAGAGGAGGAAGGCCTGCCCACTGAGACCACGCGTTAGAGGGACACCCAGAGGCTACAAGTTGGAAGACCCAACCCTAGACGGTGGCGACGATGATCAAGGCTGTAGGAGTGGTCCTTGGAGGTTTAGGGGTATTGACTTTGACACAATCCTACGTGAGCTAGCAGAAGGGAGGAAGCTCTGGCGACAGGTACGGAGAGCATCGACTGCATTGGCAACTTGAAAAGGTCCGATGTACGTATCCACAAAAGCCTCACGGAGTCTCAAGACGAGGGTCCTGCCTGGGCACTTTTGTGCCGATTTCCCTTTTTTTGCGTGCTCGGAGAAGTTTCACCGCGCACAGCAAGGGGATGCCACTCAAAGGTCCGCACGTAACGGGTTCATGAACCCACTTGCTGTACTGCACTTCCGCCTTTTGGCCACCTCGCATTCCATCCGGGTGACAGTCTAACATGCATCTCGAGGTCATCCACTGAGCCCTTGCTTCCAAAGTGCTGGATCACAGGTGTGCGTGCGTTTCATCCTCTCAGCACAACCTACATGCCACAATAACGTGGAGTTTCCTACACTGCCTTTGAGGACACGTAATGAAATGAGCGCGACTCCAGGCTCAGCTGAGCACAAGAAAAACTTTTTTCACTTTGCGATCACAGTGTTTTCCCCATATGGACAGACCGGTCCTTGCCATGATAATGTGGAATTTTCCATTTTAGCGAGCAAACCCGCAGCGGTGTATTTTATAATAAATGTGTCAATATAATGAGTGTTGTTTTGGCTAATCACGGATCGTGTATTATATGCTGTGTATATATACAGTACTGTATTGTCATTTATACAGTACCTGTATACATTTTTGCATGTGTGTGCGTGTATGTATGTGTGGGAATGTTTATTTGTTTGTAACCTTTTAACGATTTAATCCGCGGCGATTGCATAAATTCTCAATTCGATTGCAGGATTCATTATTTATTTATCTCGTTTTGCGCGTTCCGTTTGTGTTGTTTTCCGTAAATTCGATTCCCATTTTAATCTCACGACAAGTTCTTTGATCGCCCCATCTACCTATACGCACGTAACGTTTTGAAAAATGTATTGCTAATTGTTGAACCATGACCGACAACCACGCTGGTCCGTCACGTTGGAATAAGGTTTGCTGGGGCTACTCAGGAGCGGCTACATATGATCGATCACTCGCCACTGACGTGATGATGTTAGCCGTGGCCTTCCTAGCCAACTTAGATGGCCGAACGCATCAGCGCAGGGGATCGGCAACCTGCGGCACCGGAGCCACACGCGCGGTGACTTTTTAAGGACTGCAGTTGCGGCTCTTGAAATTCGAAAAAAAAAATGTTATTTTTGTGATTTGGGTTGCCGACCCCTGACCATGGAAGTCCGGGTTCACCATGGAAGTCCGGGTTCACCATGGAAGTCCGGGTTCACCATGGGAGTCCAGTTCACCATGGGAGTCTCGTTCACTGTAGGCAAATTACAATCATAATTACAACCGAGCACTTGGGTTCGAGCAGCCGTCTCATCGCTCATTCGCACAAATCCTAAATGGTTCCAGGTTCGCAACGGCCGCTCATGGTGCATTTTTATCCCAAGCCGTCCTCCAAGCGAACGACATATTTCAATCGGAATGATTACAACAGCAGCAGCAGCAGCAACAACAATTGTTTTTTTTTGCTCGACGATGATTGAAATCGATGGGGGGAGGGGGAAGACGCCGTGACTCTGCGTACGAACACGTGTTCGCTGGCGCACGTGATCAAAGGGGAAGGAGTCATCAATCATTGACGGGCTCGCGTGCTTCAAGCCTGGGCCGCCGACAAATCAGCTGTCCACGTGTTTACCCAATACCCTCCATTGCAGGGATGTAAATGCACGGTGCAACTCACTGCGCGCACCTGCTGATTGGTAAACAACGAAGAGCCGCGCGTTTCGTTTATATATGCATAATTGAATAATCGGTGTTTAATAATACATCGGATTTTTGCTGGATGATGGTCTAACTCTGAACGAAGCCGTGTCGGCCGTGTGCATTGTTTGACCATACTTCGCCACGCTGATCCACGTGCAGCAGGTTGGGTGCTACGTATGTGTGTAGGCAGAACCTCTTTCGCACCGTACGCGACCACACAATTCTCTTGCGGTCGAGTGTGGACAAGAGGTGAATTGAAGGGATCTCAAGACCAGTTCTGCGACATCACCTTCCACGGGCCGTCATCTAAGCGACAACGCCGTTACAATCTCCACGGCGTGCAGGGACACACCAGGGCAGCTGGCAATTGTCGCAGGCAACTTGGAACAACCCCGCGTCGAAATGACCTCCAATCCTGGTCGTACCCGTGTCGCTGTATAATGACATTATTACGTGCGTTCGCAGTGTACGATGCATTGCCTGTATTCGTCATTTTGCACGGTTCCATAAATATATCGTTTGCCATACGAAGCAGTTTTGAGTCATACTGCGCGCGCGCGCGTGTGTGACGTGTGCACGTGTACACTGATTATAATTGACATCCCTTTCTCAATCCACTGCTGGATGAACCCGGCCACCCGAGTTCGAATCACGGTGGCGGCGAGCAACATCAGTGGCGGTGTCCAAACACCAGAAGCGGTCCCTTCCCCATACTTCACCACGACCACCGTGGTGAAGTATGGTTAAACACCCCCCCCCCCCCCCACTGGATTAACAAGGGCGCTGTACATTGTTACTGTTCATTTTTAAACCATTGCGTGTGTGGTGTAGTGTGTGTGTGTGGTGTAGTGTGTGGAGTGTGTGTGGTGTAGTGTGTGTGTGTAGTGTGTGGAGTGTGTGTGGTGTGGTGTGTGTGGAGTGTGTGTGTGGTGTAGTGTGTGTGGTGTGGTGTGTGGAGTGTGTGTGGTGTAGTGTGTAGTGTGCGACCCGGGTTCGATTCCCGCTCACGGCCAACACCAGTGACGGATTATCTGAACCGGTCCTGGGCCTCCCCTAGGTCGACTCAGCCTCAAATGAGTACCTGGTGCGATGTGTAAATATCGCTACTGGGGAGACAAAGGCGGCCGGGCGTGGTGTTGGCCACCCACCCCCTCGTGTGCCGTGCCGGCCTTCAAAGGTGCTCACTATAACAGCACTTGCCCCTACAGTCTATCACGGCTATACGGGGGATCTTTGTGTGGTGTGTGTGTGGTGTGTAGTGTGTGTGTAGTGTGTGTAGTGTGTGTGTAGTGTGTGTGTAGTGTGTGTGTGGTGTGTGTGGTGTGTGTGGTGTGTGTGGTGTGTGTGGTGTGTGTGGTGTGTGGTGTGGTGTGTGTGATGTGTGTGGTGTGGTGTGTGTGATGTGTGTGGTGTGTAATGGTGTGTAATGGTGTGTGTGGTGTGTAATGGTGTGTGTGGTGTGTAATGGTGTGTGTATATGGTGTGTATGGTGTGTAGGATGTGTGTGGTGTGTGTGATTTGTGTGGTGTGTGTGATGTGTGTGGTGTGTAATGGTGTGTGTGGTGTGTAATGGTGTGTGTGGTGTGTGTGATGTGTGTGGTGTGTAATGGTGTGTGTGGTGTGTGTGGTATGTGTGGTGTGTGTGTGGTATGTGTGGTATGTGTGGTGTGTGTGTGGTGTGTGTGTGGTGTGTGTGTGGTGTGTGTGTGGTGTGCGTGTGTAGTGTGTGGTGTATGTGTGTGTGATGTGTGTGGTGTGTGTGTGGTGTGTGTATGTGTGTGTGATGTGTGTAGTGTGTAGTGTATGTGTGTAGTGTATGTGTGTGGTGTATGTGTGTGTGTGATGTGTGTGGTGTGTATGGTGTGTGGTGTGTGTGATGTTTGTGGTGTGTATGAGACGTGAGTTCATGTTGCTTCGTGGTGGTTCTATGTTGTGAAAGATTACGCAGTCGATACACACAGAAGCACACAGCTACACACACATACAAGGATCCACACACAGCCTAATACAGTAGATTCAAATGACACCAAAGACAAAGATCCACTGTGTAGCCTTAACAGACTGTTGGGGCAAGTGCTGTTAGCGAGCACCTATGAAGGCCGCCACGGCACACGAGGGGGTGGGTGGCCAGCATCACGCCCGGCCGCCTACGTCTCCCTCGTGGCGATGTTTACACACCGCACCAGGTACTGAGTCGACCTAGGGGAGGCCCAGGACCGGTTCACATAGCCGTTACCGGTGTCGGCCGTGAACAGGAATGCAACTCGGGTCGCCGGGTTCGTAGCGCAGCGCGCTAACCGCTGCACCACCGCTCCTCCCCTAAAATGGCACAAGACACAGGCATATATACACTGGAGTTCGAATTCGACATAGAAAAACACCTCTCTGGCCTTTCTGTGTACTGGGACGAAGGGTAATTTCCCATGAACGTCACCTATTATACAGAATATATATTTTTAAAGTCAACAGTGTTATTTACGAATGCGTTGACTCTTTTTTATTTTTTCGTGAAACAGAGAAACGATAACTCGGCATATTCTAACCAAAATTGTCTTGACAAGTCGAGTAAATTTCGATTAAAAGCTTTCGTGACTGCAAGGATTCATCTTCTTTGGTTCTTTCGGTAAAGTCACGTAGAATGAGAATAAAATAATAAAATAAAACAATAAAATTCTCACGTCGTTTCGGCCACAACACCCCCCCCCCCCAAGTCGAGTAACTTTCACAGCGTTCCCAATTGGGAGTTTTCTTTATGTAGCGGCCTCTACTGGCGACACGTGTCGTGGCCTCACGCGTTGTTTAGACAGCAGAGACAACGCTTCGGACAATGAACCTTCTTCAT